ACAACTCGGTGCTTTATCGTACACCGTCGCGTCGTTGTGTCCTTTAAACAGCTACTATTTGCGTGGATGAACGCCGTACTTTGTGCGTGTATAAAAGAGATACGTGGAAAATAGTCGRCGCATAAAATATGTGTAATGTACGTAGGTACCTACACAATTACACAAATACAGAATTGTAGGTTATAAGGTGTATAGTCTGACACGTCACATTGATAAGGAACTCACTCTCAACAGTGGACACTTCTTATAAACGCCCAGACATAAATATATACGTATTTACTAGCAGGCTGCTATGCATGACACGTTTTAATTCTTCTATCCTCGAGGTCTCCGCTACAGTGACAGGCTTCACTGTACCGCCATAGTATTCAAATGCAAAAGAAAAATATTTTTCTATTTAAATATTACCTATTTAAAAGCAATTAATTGATTGGTTTATAATTCATAAGCAGATTATGATTAATTATGACGGTTTAATTGTATAATGAAAACAAATTTAAAGTATAAGTATAAGTAGACATCTGATATTAATATTTACTAATAATAATTGTTAATTTAAATTTAACATGTCATTAATGTAAAACTACAAATTAGAGTTAATATAATCTGACGACTTTTTGTCTTTATATGTAATGTGTAATATAATGTGAGTGAATAATACGAATAGTGTTAAAAAATGACTTATKCCACTTCTAATAGTATTATTTATTTGTGACATAATATTGTTTTCTTATAACAAATTAACAATCATTATATTTATATCACTTCGTATTTTACCACCATCCAAATTAATACATCAATATAAATAATATCAAACATCTTATTAACCACTCCAAACTACCTATAATTATATATACAAGATGATTATTTTATCAAACAACGCTCGTCATTTCAAAATCCATTGAGTTTTTCAAAAAAATTTTTTTCAAAATTTTAGATCCATATTTTGCTTATTTAAATATAAAACAAATGTTCATGTATTTATGATTACGATTGATGAGAATTATTAATTKCTAACTAATTGTACTATAAAATATATTTCATATTATAATCAATGGACCAATTATCAATCCTTAGGATCTATGTTAGTATGTTAAATATAGTTACTTTGATTTTATTAATACCCAKTAGGTATCTACGTCTTATTATAGCAGATACCTACTACAGYTTTTGGTAGTATGTCAGAATGATAATAACTTAACAAATTATGTTATTAATGGTTTTACGAATTTTATTTTTGCTTTAAATATTTAACACGTAATTCATCTAGTATAATTATGAATTTCCAATTTGTTTAAATTATCTATTATATATTGTTTTAAAATATAGTGTTTAACATATTGAGTTAATTATGCAGTGGTTTGAGCTGACTGTTTAGATATAACAGTATGTAGTTATAGGATACCTGCAATATCCCGTGTGATGTTCAACTATAAAATTTAAATCATTTTCCGTAATTGACTTTTTT